GGTGGAGGCATCTGAGAATACACATAGTTCTGTGTGTCTAGCTTTGGAAAGCGATTCTGGTGTGTATGCGCGAGGAATGTGTAACTCCTTTAACTCTTGGAGTGAGTCTCGCCAGCTTTCCCATGCTCCTCGTTTCTCCTCCGGAAGTGGAGCATCCCAATCATGTGTCTCACTGGTAAGTTCCCGGAGCAGTATCCTTCCCTGTACGGTGACGGGAGAAGCTAAACCAAGGGGATCGAAGACACTGTTTATAGTGGACAAAACTCCCCGACGAGTGAAGGGTTTGTCATCCACTGACACTTTAAAAGTGAATGTGTCACGGGTCGTTTCCCAGCACAATCCGAGACTCCTCTGTATAGCTGAGGTTTCTTGGCTGAGGTCTAAGTCCTTCATGACTTGAGCGTGTTCTTCTCGTGGGAAGGCCTCCATTACTGCTGAGCTGTTGGAAACAACCTTATGAAGACGAAGATTTGACTCCGCTAGAGATGCTTGGGTTCTCTTCAGAAGACTGATGGCTTCTAAGTCGGTGGGCAAGGAAATGAGACCATCGTCTACATAGAAGTGTCTTTCTACAAAGCGACATGTATCTTCACCATGTTTATTCTCACCTTCTTTTGCAGCACACCTAAGTCCATAAATGGCAATGGAAGGAGAGGGACTATTACCGAACACGTGCACCTTCATGCGGTACTCTCTGATGTCTTTTGTTGGATTGTTGTCCCTAAACCACAGGAATCTCAAGAAGTCACGATGGTCTTCTCTGACACGGAAGCAATAGAACATCCTCTGGATGTCTGCCATGATCGCCACTTGCTCATTGCGGAAACGAATGAGAACTCCAAGTAGGCTGTTATTGAGGTCAGGACCAGTTAACAACACACTGTTAAGGGAAATGCCTTCTTCCTGCGAGCTGGAATCGAAAACCACTCTTATTTGATCAGGCTTTTGTGGGTGGTAAATGCCAAACATTGGCAGATACCAACACTCCTTGTCTCTATCTACCGGAGCGACTGGCTCAGCATGGTCATCTGCAAAGATCTTTTCCATGAAGGCCAAGAACTGCTGCTTCATTACAGGTCTCCTTTCCAGCATTCTACAGAGTGAAGTAAGTCGAGAGAGGGCTTGTCTACGATTATTTGGCAGCCTCACTCGTGGCACTCTGAATGGTAATGGTGCAACCCAGTTGTTTTCCTCATCTCTGTATACCTCTGTGTTCATGATCTCTAGAAAGGCTGTATCTTCAACAGACAGAGCAAGCTTGTTGTCACTTTTGGTTGTCTGAAACACACTGTGACCTAGGTTTTGTCCTGTGTCTCTCTGCAGATGGGGTTTGCGAGCACTGATGAAACTGTCCCGTTGCTCCCCGCCATGACACACTTTTTCCTTTATGTGCATGCAGTTGTCACAAGGTTTAAAGTAAGATGAACGTCCATTCTCTAGCACATGGGTCTTGAAAGTGTGCACATCTGGTTTGTGAGCTCTCCCAATGCATACCTCTCCAATTACCACCCAACCCAGATCAGACTTCTGCGCAAACGGTGCATTGTGCGGTCCGTTGATCTGTTGTCGTACCTTGTGCACCCTTACAATGTCTCTGCCCAACAAAAGAAGGATTTGGGCATTTGAATCAAGATTGGGGATGTGAGTTGCTATGGTTTTCAGATGAGGATGTAAGAGCGCCATTTTAGGTGTTGGAATTTCTGACCTGTTGGCGGGAATTTGGTCACACTCAATCAGTGGTGGTAATGCGAGAGTAAGTTCTCCATTCACAGGTTCAATTTGGAAGCCTTCTGCTTTTCTCCCAAACACTTCGTTAACTCCAGCACATGTTCTTAGTAAATAAGGAGTGGAACAACCTTGGAGGTCAAACAGCTCAAAGAATTCTGGCCTAGCCAACGAGTGATTACTTTGGTCATCGAGAACTACATATACCTTGATTGCTTTATCACGTTGCCCCTGAGGAAACACTCGAGCCAAACATATTTTTGCACAGGATACTGCTGGCTGCCCTTCACCACAAATCTCTGTGCAGTGTGTGGTGATGGCTACTTCAGGTGAAAGCTCCTCTTCCATTTCACTGCGTTCTGGTACTGGGACTGGAGTTTTAGGAGCTTGCGGTGCTGGACCAGGATGCAAGGCTGAAACATGACGATTGCTTCCACATTCAGTGCATTTCACAGAGACTTGACAATCTTTGGCTACATGGGAAGTCGATGCACAGCACTTATAGCATATGCCATTTTCATGAAGGAACGCTTTTCTCAGATCAAGTTGTTTTGCCCTAAACTCACGGCACTTCCTTAATGGGTGTGGTTTGCGATGGATTGGACAACTTTTGCCTGGACTATCGCCTTGTTTTGGAACATGGTTAATTTCACGTTCAGTTCCTGAGGCAACATCTGTCTTGTGAACTGCTATTGGGATCCTTCCAGTTCTGTAGGCTGATTTGTCCCTTATGGGAGGATAGCTATTGCTGGGAAGAGTGAAACTTGGATCGTTTCTGATGTGAGCTTCATAGCAGATAAACTTAGCAAAGAAGGAGAATGGAGGGAAAAGACCGTTGTGCTCATCTTTGAACCTGGAACCTTGGGATACCCATTTTTCCTGTAGGGCATGTGGGAGTTTTTCTACTATGGGACCAATGTCTCGAGCTGTGTCCAGGAAAGCTAACCCTGGTAAGTATCCATCTTCTTTTGCAGATTGTAACTCCATGAGAAGGTCTCCTAATTCTCTGAGTTTGATGTAATCCTTACCAGGAATCTTCGGAAATGCATCTAGTTTCTTGAAAAGAGCACTTTCGATTACTTCAGGTGAAGCATAACACTTACTTAATCTGTCCCATGCTTTTTCCAGTGCCTTATCTGGATTGTTGACATATGCTTGATGAATTCTCCTGACGTGCTGAGATGATTCTTTACCTAGCCATTTGATCAGGAGATCCAGTTCTTCACTGGGTGAGAGACCAAGTCCTCTTACAGCGTTAACAAAAGAAGACTGCCATGCTCTAAAACTTTCAGGTTGGTCGTCAAACTGATTAAGTCCTGTGGTGACTAACTCTCTGCGAGCTAAATACTTGACAAAGTCTGCCATTTCAGGCGTCTTGACGGGATCAGCGGTTGCGGTGCGATACTGAGGCATGTATGGTTGAGCGGAAGGGTTCATGCTCTGAATGTCTGGCTTATTGTCACCATGATAGGTTCTGTTGACGTGAGAAGGCTCTTTAGGGGCTGCTGTGTTGAAAGAAGAGATATGCCGTTTTAGCCGTTCTGCAGATAATGGAAAGGACGGGTCAGTTCGGTGAATTCCATATTCACTTCCCCATGTAACTAAGCTGTCATCATGCTGAATGAGCGAAGATGCAGGGATTTCATGACACGACGCTATATGTAGCTCATTCTGTTGCTGTACATATGCACTTGTGCGATCAAGCTCTCTTTTTACTGAAGCTTTACTGCTCTTGCTTCGAGGTTCTTTAACCTGCTCTTCAGCTGCTTCCAACACTTCTGCTTGCACTACGGCTGCGGCTGCCTCTCTCTGGAGAGCTAAAGCTTCTAATTCAGCATCCAGTCTTGCTTTCTCCAACTTCAATTTAATCTCTTTGTCTGCGAATGCTGCACGTGCGCATGCTGCTTCTGCTTTAGCACGTGCTCTAGCTGCTGCACTGACTGCTGATGCTGAAGTACTCCGGCTACTAGCACTGACTTGAGATGCGTTATCATTGTCTTTGGCTCGATCCATACCACTGTTATACAGTTTGCATGCAGTGTAGAACTGTTGTAGAGGTTGATAGCCGGCTTGTCAAATGCCTTTTACTGTACTGTCCTCCTAATGGTTTGGCTTAACCAAAATTAGACAGCCAGCCAAACTCCCAGAATAACAACACGAGAGTCAGGATTTAGCATTCTAGCTCCAATTTTAGTGTAGACTCTTGAAGAGCATGTTGGTACAACAAAGGAGTAAACTGAAAATGATAAAACATATTTCGAATTACTAACATACAAATGATGGAGGTTTGAACATGTTAGCTAAGCATGACTATATAAAAGATAGAGTGCTAACGCATGTACATTATGCTAGCCTAACAGCCTAACCTACAGCCAGCTTCATTAAGCTAATACAAGCAAAGACAGTCTCATCAATCATAAATACTCTTGGATATTGCAAGATAAACTTGTAAACAGTAAGAAATGACTTACAGGCAATGCTCACAATGGGCTAAATCCCTTGATTACGACAGATCGTACAACAGGCATGTAAAGCTACTGAGATCCACAACAAGAACTAACATGGGTCTCTGGTTTCCTGTTTCCTGTCTGCCAGGGTGCAACACCTGCCTCTACCAAAGGGTGGTGGTACTGTACCTTGAAACACTCGAAAGCCTAGAGGCAGAACAGTAGTTATTGAATAATTCATAATAGTTACAGAATAATACATAATAGTAACAGAATAATTTATATTTATTTATGCTCGTGCTTTGTTGTAAGTATGCTGGTGCAATATGGCTGCCACTTCACGTTGTTTTTTTCATTTGTTTTGTATTGTTTGTGTGTATGTTTTGATGTTTTCCTGCTGGCTGAGGAGTTTGCCATCATATCCTCCAAGATAGCAGCTGAGAGTGACTTTCCAGCTGTAGCTCAGAGGCTTCTTGGGCTGGTCGTTTTGGCGACGCTACATCACAGCTATGATGCAGCCTGGACCTGCCACTTGAATGACGCTGTATTGCGGCTACAAGGCTGCCTGGACCAGAAACCTGATCAATGCTACATCGCAGCTATGAGGCTGCCAGGGCTGGCTGCTTGGATGACACTGCACTGCAGATGTGGGACTGCCTGGACCGGTAGTGTTTGGCTGCATGAGCAGTGCTATTATTTCATAATAGATACTGAATGATTCATAGTATACACTGAATAATTCATAGTATACACTGAATAATGCATAGCAGATTCTGTATAATTCATAGTGGATACTGTCCTGTTTATCTAAATTGTCAGAGGGAGAAATAAAGGAGAACGAGTTCAGCATTTCTGTTTCTTATCAACTCATACCATCAAGAATCTAGCAGAAGTACAGAACCTTTTGGAACCAGTGGGCACTATTGTGTGAGGGAGATGGAGTTGGTGGTAAAGGTCAGTCTGAGTGCTGTGTCTGTTTCTGCTCTGATTGTGACACTGAGGCTGACAGAACTCAAACACACTGCACAGTTTCCACATTTAAAGTAATAAAGTATAAATCACTCGGCTGTTACTTGAAGGCAGTGTAAATGTGTCTTTCACTGCCTTACATATCTAGTCCTCTGTGTCTGTGCAGCTGTGTTTATAAAAAAGGCAGAAATCACCAGCACTGGCACAGTGGACACCACTGCCTTCTGAGGCACTGAGTGATTTAGTATGTGTTAGATGATGTGCTTGATGCTTATTTAATGACAGTATGAAAACTGAGCACTGTGATCACCTGATTGGTTACAGGTGTTGCATGATATGAAGCTAGCATAGCAGTAGCTTGTGGCAATTCCTTGTGATTTTTATCCACCTTCATATTTTACATTATAGCATGGCATTTCATTTTGCTTGTGAGGATATACAAAACCCATCTGTAACATTTCCAGCTGTCTGGATTATCATTTTGTAGGAGACTACATTTTTGTTCTTTGACCACCTTCAACAACTAACCATCGAATGCTGGCAAGACTGAATACCATCTTAGCAGTGCATTTTCCCCTAAGCTTGCCTTTCCCCCATGTGCAGCACTGGACAAAGTTCGTTCTCTGGTCATGTCAGTGTTTTTTTAAAACTGAAATCACAATTTTGTTCGAGAAAATGTCTTATGTATGCAGTGTTAGGCCTGAGAAACATCACATCTTCCCTCTGCACAAAATAGCTAGTTGATGTCTATGGCTGATATAACTATTTCATGTAACTAGCTGGTGACACTGGTACTTCAGTGAGGGACAGATATATGTGCGGTGCATGCTGTTGTTATTCTGCCTATATTAAACAATTAAATTGATGTGTTCTAGTTGTTTGCCACTGCAGCTGCCATGAAGAGGATGCCCACCCTACTGGTAACTTCTAAGCTGCTGCTACTGCTTGCTATGTTTATAAAGAATCTGCATAAATCAACAACAATCCTGTATTTCAGCAAAATGGTACTATCCTTGCTGCAAGTGATTAACTCTTCATTTGTTTTTTTTGTTTTTTTTTCAGGTGAGAAAAACAGCAAGCTGTATTGAATGCTGGATGGTCAGTCGTAAGGGACACATCACCTATAAGGGCATGCAGGCAACTTTATTGACCATTCTGTGTTTTACAGAAGCAGGATGCATGTGTGAGCTAGCAGTTTAATTGTTGTTCATGGAGAAAGTAGCAAAGAAAGAACCAGAAACAAAAGAAAAACAAAATGAGGCCAGCACTAATGAAATGAAAAGAACCACTAAAAATAAAGAAATACTCAAACTAAGAATCAGCAAAACTCACTACAAACATACTACCACCACCAAGCAAAGAACAGACTAAACCAAGGGGAAGAAATAGACAAGAGAACACCTGAGAAACACCTGGGGCTAACAAGATGGTGGGGCTACAGACTACACGCTGGTGGGACTGATGACTGGGGGGAGACGGACAAAAACAACAAAAGCACATGGCGGACATAAACAAAAGCACATGGAACAAGAGGCAGTAGAGAAGATAAAGGCAGACACAGACAGAAACAAGCAAAGACAAAGCAGGACAAGACAAAAATCTGTACCTATACCTGAAGGGAAAGTTAGTGAGGCCCCATTAAAAAGGTAATGAACTGTAATGAGCAGTATTATACTGTAAACATACTAAATTACGGTTATATCCTGAATTTGTAAAAAAATGGTATTAAACCGTACATTTTTACAACAGTAGGATAATGTTAATTTAACTGCAATTTCCTGGCAACCCTGCGGCCAGTTCTTTATTGTTTTTTTTTTTACAGTGAACACTTTTTAACTTCGAGCCCAAAGCATGGACCTAAAAGGGATTTAATATTTATTTATTTATTTATTTATTTATTTATTTAATCTTATGAGTCATTAAATTCTGTCTTCTGGTCACATAGGATTTTGACTGATTTTCAACAAAATAATAGACATACAAAATATTTACACTCAAATTCTAATTTAGTAAGGGAAGATGAATGTGTTGTTAATATCAGACATACAGGTCTGTATTGGATGTGTTGTTGTCTATATTGTCTCTATTGCAGTGAATTTGGTTATGTGTATCTAGAACAGTTCACTCAGAGGGGTTCTACTTAATCATTTAAGCAATCACTCAATATCATTCACTCAGAACAGCTATCAGGCTGCATTAGAGCTCCCACTGCTGTGTTTATACTGTATTGATCACTGTATTGATCAAATACTGACACATTAAGATGAATGAATTAAAGTTTGTTGTTTTTCTCTGCAGGCAACTCCCGGACATTTGACCCTAATTTTAAAGGTCCCATTCACAACAGGTGAGAGAGACTGTTATTCACTTCATTGAGGCTGTTGTAACAGTTTATAATCTGTGCTTTAAGTCTGCTGTAAGAGGTATTTTCCTGTTTCAATTTGCATTTTTGTTGAATGTTTCCGCCTCATCTCTGGTGTTCTGGCAAATTGTGTTACCTTGTCAAAATATCCTACCATAGAACACATTTCAGTAGTTTCATAGTTTTAAGTTTATTTGTCATTTGCACATGTCAGGACATTCATGCATTGATTGTGGTGAGGCTCAGCTAATCACTCTACAGAAAGTAAACAAAGTAAAAATAAAAACACAAGAAAATAATGAAATTGAAATACATTACATATACACAAAATACAGAGACAGGAGGGCCCTATGTAAGGGAAAAAAATCCTCTCTATGTACAAATATATTTATATTAAAAAAGAGATAATCTGTGAAGAATATATACATTTTAAAGTGACTTAAGTGACTCAGTGTTATTGTTATTTAAAGTGACTTAGTGTTAAAGTGTTATTGTCCATAGCAGTAATATTATATAATAATAATACCAGTGACAAAGTGACTGAGTGAAATGGTAGTTGGGGAAGGACCCACAGCTTCACAGCTTGTTCAGAAGCCTGACAGCCTGTGGGTAGAAACTGTTCATTAACCAGGTTGTTCTAGTCTGAATGCTGCGAAATCTCCTGCCTGATGGCAGGATAGTGAACAGGCTGTGTGCTGGGTGATGCTGTCTGACCGGATCTTTTTGATTTTCCTGAGGCAGCGGGACTGATAGATGTCCTGTAAGGCCGGTAGTTTGTTGCCTATGATGGCTTCCGCTGTCCTCACCACTCCTTTAAGGGCTTTATGGTCGCAGGCGGTGCAGCTGCTGTACCAGACAGTGATGCAGTGTGTTTACAACTCAGCGTAGTGTGTATATTTTAACACAGTGTGTACAAATTAGCGGTGTGTACAACTCAGTAGAGTGTGAGTACACTGTGTGTAGAACTCAGCAGTGACTGTTGATCTCAGCGCAGTTCCTATACTTCACTCTGTGTGTGTGTATGTGTGTGTAGGAGCTGCACTGATGTTTTCTGCTGTTTCTGCTTCACACACAATTTGATTGAGTGAAACTATGAGAACTCAGACGAGCTCAGTCGATCCTCACTCAGTGTGTGCATGTGTGTGTGTGTGTGTGTGTGTGTGTATAGGAAGAAGCCTCTGCTGTTTTATTTTAACATCACAGAGTGTGCTAATACACAGGTGCTGAAGGATTTGAAGTGTCGCACCACACAGGTAACACCCCAATTACCCCAACATAGAACTCTCATTGTCATTGTCAATCTCTGTGATTACACTGTGTTGTGGTCAGCCTAACTACCGTGTGCAGCAGCAGTTATAAGTTATATTGTTATTAATGTCAGATATTGTGTGTGTGTGTGTGTGTGTGTGTGTGTGTGTGGATCTGTGTGGATAAATGTCCAGAGCAGTTGCTAGAGCTGGTGGAGGCTAAATGGAGCAAAGATAACACGCAGTACTACTCACAGTTTTGTAAGGAGAGAGTGAACACTGCAAAGGTGAGTTAAACACACACACACTCTCACATATACATACTTTACTGAGAAAGTACAGCAGGTGATATACCATTTAACACAGCTTACAGAGAGGAAATGAGTGCAGTTGTGCAGGAGCAGAAAGTAGGATACAAATTCTCTTCTTTTGAAGTTCTTTTTCTTAGTGTACGTGATTGTGGAACAAATAAGAATTCTTTTTCACTAATTACAATCCATAGGCCCCCAGGGTTGTATTCTCAGTTCTTACAGGAATTCTTAGACTTTCTATCAAGTTTAATAAAGTAATAATTGTCTGAGTTTTTAATACCCACTTTGACAAACCTCAAGATGCACTAAGTAAGGCATGTATATCTATCTTAGCCTCTGTAGGTTTCACTCAAAATATAAAGGAGCCCACTCATTATTGCAGCCACACTTTAGACTTAATTCTGACCTTTGGTATAATCATAGATAACTTAGCCATTCTCCCCAGAGCACAACAGTCTCAGATCATTACCTAATCTTATATGAAATTCACTTTAGTGGTAATGTACGTTCATCACCATGTTATTGTGTTAAACAGACTATAACTTCCTCTACAGCTGGTAGCTTTATCAGAAACATCCCACAATTATCAGCTTCTGTCAGCTGTCCATCTAATCCTACCGAATTAGATATTATGACCAAGTGCTTAGAGGATACTTTTTGATCTACTCTAGATAATGTGGCTCCATTAAAAAGTAAAATAATAAGGCAGAAAAATCCGCCCCATGGTATAATGATCATACTCGAGCTTTAAAACAGACTGTCTGGACAACTAGAGCGAAAATGCGCCTGATTAAACTAGAAGCGCTCCAGTCCGTCTGGAGGGAGAGCCTTATAGACTACAGAAGAGCACTTACTGCAGCACACTCAACATATATCTCCTCTCTCATAGAATACAATAAGAATAATCCTAGATTATTATTTAACACAATTTCTAAAATAACTAAGAACCAAACAGTTACTGAACCCCAGATGCCATTAGCCTATAGCGGCAATGATTTTATGAATTTCTTTAGTGATAAAACTGAAAAAATTAGGCAGAAAATTCAGAATGCACAGTTAAACTCTACAAACTTGCTGCCTTATAATACCAGTCTAGATCTTCAAAATATTGTGACTACTGCAGAGAGGCTGGAATTGTTTACCTTACTTTAACAAAATGAACTAGTTAAAATTGTTCCCTCCGCAAAATCTTCTACTTGTGTGTTAGATCCCATTCCTACAGGTTTACTTGAAGAAATTTTGCCTGAAATTACCAAGCCTATTCTGTCAATAATAAACCCCTCTCTTAGCCTTGGCTATATCCCAAAAACTCTTAAACTAGCAGTAATTAGACCTCTGATTAAGAAAGCTAACCTTGATCCCTGCGACCTATCAAATTATAGACCTATCTCGAATCTCCCCGTTATATCAAAGATCTTGGAAAAAGTTGTGGCAAAACATTTAAGTTCTCATTTGCATAGGAATCGTATACATGACAAGTTTCAGTCTGGTTTTAGGCCACATCATAGTACAGAGACAGCACTAGTAAAAAATTGCAAACAATCTTTTATTATTTATTATTTTTCTCTGACCAAGGAAATGTGTCTTTGCTAGTCTTCTTTCATCTTAGTGCGGCATTTGACACGATAACCACTCTATATTACTAGATAGACTAGAAAATCTTGTAGGGGTAACAGGAATAGCTCTTTCCTGGTTCAGATCTTACCTTACTGATCGCTGTCAGTTTAACATAAACAGTGAATCATCTGTCCTCACAAAAGTAAAGTATGGTGTACCACAAGGCTCTATTTTAGGATCTATGTTATTCACATTATATATGCTACCACTGGGCACCATTATCAGTAAACACAGCATCAATTTCCACTGCTATGCTGATGACACTCAGTTATATATATCAAGCAAACCAGATGATAAAATTCAACTTAGCAAGATTGAGGACTGTATAAAAGACATAAAAGACTGGATGTTGAGTAACTTTCTCCTACTTAACTCAGATAAAACAGAGGTTTTGCTTCTTGGTCAAAAGCTGCTAGAAACAAACTGTCTAATTTAACTTTTAAACTTAATAGTTTCTCAGTTGCGTCATCTCTGCAATATTGCTAAATTAAGAAATGCATTATCTCTACAGGATGCAGAAAAGCTAGTTCATGCATTTATTACCTCAAGGCTAGATTACTGTAATGCCCTGCTGTCTGGATGTTCCAGCAAAAGCCTTAACAAGCTTCAGTTAGTCCAGAATGCTGTAGCCAGTGTCTCACAAGAA